GACCCATCGTCCACGAGAGAAACAAGAAGATTGGAAACATTTGTTTGTCTTGGTAAACGATTCGAAAAACAGGAAGAACTTACGTGTTCAAATTCCCGCCAAATATCCGTCACGAATGTTGACGGCCTTTTCTAGGAACTTATCTGGCCTTTCCCACCATCACAGTAGCATTTCTATTGTCTACTGCATCCTATTCTTTCGAGCGTCTTGTCTCTATTCGGAGGGCGTAGCCCGATTCCGGCACGTGGCCGCCCAAGGCGCACTTCTTCCACGCGTTGCCTTCTTTCCGCCCGAACTACCTTCGGCCGTCCATAGAGTTTTAAGTACTTGTTCCTCATCGAAAACTGAATCTTCTTGTGTGAAACTTTGTATACTTGCTTCATTGATCGCAAATATTCTTGCACATGAATATGTCGGAAAGGTGTGCAAGAATTTTCTGGGACGATTCCTTCCAATATTTCTAGGTTTTCTGAATACGTGGATCACTTTGAGGGAAATGTTTTTGTATTAGCTACTGTCGACTGATGCTTTCCTAGTAGCTTTTAAATGCTCCACTAATGGTTCCTCCAAAATAGGAATGCACAGTGCGAAACTAGTGTAATAGAACAGTTTTATTTATCTTACGCTTCGTGGTGAGCAGCAGGACAGTTGTCCCTATACGCTGCGACTGGGTTTCATATACAGTTCTGCTTCGTTTCTACGATTCCCTTGCCTTGAAGTCTACGCCATTTCTTTGACTTTCTTGCTTTTACTTTTGAAGCTATTCGTTGCTAGAAGGTGCCAAGTCAGAATTAAGGGAATGCTCAGTTCCGAGACCAAGTCTGAGGGTAGAACAACTTCAAGGTGCGTAAACACCATTCTTTCCTGTTCCCCGACCCTCCCTGGCTAATCCCATTCTTCGCGCTATCTCACAGCAAATTGCGTTAGAGGTAAGGAGAAGGACAATGAAGGGTGTTTAACCGTTCCAGTGACGTCTACTAGCGTCAGTGCACTCTTTTATGGGTTTTTCTGTTCCCTTAGCGTGTCTCTATGTGTAGGCCGTAATTGCTCGTGCTGCTTATTGTGAGCGGTAAAATAAAGTCGCTTTCGCGTCGTCTACAGACGCAGTTGCAATCTCATGAGTTCGAAGTCATCCCTAGCAGGAGTACCTGGCATATTCAGTACGGCGGACACCTCTAACTTTTATTTTTGTTTTTCGTTCCGTTTTATATTCATATCGATTATTTTTTAGAATGAATCTATGGTGATGCATCATCATCAAGAGTTGACGGTAGTAAATCAGAAGGTGCAACATCTTGAACGAGAGATTGCGCTGTGGGTCTTACATATTTGATGATCCTCTTTAAATTAATAGCCGTCGGCCGAATAGTCTTTTTCAGTATGCAGGAAGCACGGGAGAGTGCCATTACGGAGTATAAGTCGGCACGAGCTGGTGATGCTGCTGCATTGGAGAACCTACGAGAGGAAAACGCCGTTCTGTTGAATGATATCTCCTCCCTTAGAACCAGCTTGAAAGGGCTCGTGAGTCGATCGTGATTTCACTGTTGTTTTCGTTGATCTACGATATGATTTTCCTAATTGCTTTCATTTTCGTTTTTTGTCCGAGATGCACTGCCTTTACCTTCTAGTCATTCAAGAGAACTGTATTGTAGTAGTTGGGATAGACGGGTTAATTGGGTGATCGAGTTGGGTCATTAAGGGCGATCTGTGTGTGGTTTCCCAGCTGCCTTCGCCGTCTCTCTTGACTTTGATGAATTTCAATTTTTTTCTCTGACTTTGCAAGTGAATCTTGTTCTGAAAGGGTTGGCAACTCCTGTAACTTCTTTTTCATATCGGGTCACATATCCCTCGCTTCTGCTGCTTGAAGGCAATTCTTGCAGTGAGCTAATATGGGAATGCGGAACCAATTGGTGCGTTCGTGAAAAAAAAAGTTGGGAAACGTTTAGAACTGAAAAAACGGGACTCTTTTCTCGCCTGTGTTATCAGGAGTGGAGGAGTTTATCAATTATAACGTCGTCGGGGTGATGTTGAACACTTTTTTCATGGCTAAGGCGTCGATTTCCACTGAATAGGCGTTTGCTGATTCGATAGCTATGCAACGTGCACTCACCAGGAAAGGATGAGGGTCGAAGTGGCCATATGCAATGAGACCTACACCTGCTGGATGTGTTTTTGGACGCTGATCTCGAATCTGCTTTCCAAATCTGCCAAACGATTTTCCTGAATGGAGTTATGAAGCAAAATAGTGCAGCGGTAGTGGTCCGGGCTCACGTGCGAGAGGTCGTAGGATCGATTCCCTGACGGATTCTGCCGTCAGCCTTCGCGGCAACATGGTTGAAAAAGACTCAGCTACTGCATCTAATCAGTGCTTGCTTAGTTACCCGTAGGAAGAGTTGCGAGGAGTTTCCTAACAGTTTGCGCGCTACTTGCTAAATGACTGCACATGGAGCCCACAGAACTCTTGGCAGACGTTTTTGCAGCAAACAGGTGTGACATTATGTATTGTTGCAGAGATAAATATACCTCTGTGGGGTACAGTGTTAGGCAAATCACCCTCACGAAATCGATCCTACGTCCTCTCATCTGTGAGCGCGGACCAGTACCGCTGCTCTATTTTGTTTCATAACTTCGCCCAGAAGATTGATTGTCAGACAAGGGGTAACGAGCAGTAGAATTCCGAATTCCGAAAGGAACCCATCCTTTTGTTTAAAATTCTACTGCATAGCTGCCCTGCATAACTCTGACTCATTGGGAAACGCTGAAACAGCTATGGGTTGTTTCTGTTTTTATTCGTTCTACAAAAAATGCCGTTTTTCAACATTTGAAATCGCCTACGTCCCTTTCGACCCCAAAGCCCAATGCCCGCGTCGTGAATGTGGCAATGTGCTGGCTCTAAAGTTTTGTTAGGTAAGCCGTATCAACTGTAATAGAATATGATGCAGATGTCATCTCACAATGTCTCTCAGTCTAATGATATACTGCAACTTCACTTTAGCATTAAATCCTTCACAATAATAATGGTCTTGTTTATCCTCGTCTTATTCAGTGTTTCCAACATTGCAGATTCTTTCAGAAAGATGAGAACGAAGCACTGAAGTCGTCGTTGGAAGAGGCAAAAGCTCAACGAGTACTGCCACAACCTGTTGAAAAGTTGGCAAAGGGACAAGCTCAGAAAGATGCTGGACACCCTGAAAGCGATACTTTCGGTGAAATTGCTATGCCAACTTCGCAAGTGGCCCCTTTTTCATTGACTCCCCCTCAAAGTGCTACGGCAGTCCTTGTGAGTAAGATTTTCCTTTGTTGTGCATTGAGCAGACCTTAGCACTGCTTTGATAGATTGCTCTGACTGGCTATTTTTATAGCATGACATGTCACTGAAGAGAATCAGTTTTCTGGAGCAAGAAGCGTTACGTTGTGGTCAACTAGAAGATCAAGTGCGGCAGCTGAAAAAGGAGCTACAGGTTTGTAACGGCACCGTTGGTAACACATTTTCTGCCATGGTTATCGCCACTTACCTCTGTTAACCCCTAAAAAATCAAAAATATAAATGTTTGGATGTAGCATACAGTAGCGGTCAAAAGTGTTCGCCGAAACGATTTTCAGTGCATTATTTTTTCTCGCTTGAGCAACGCCCTCCAAAGATTGATATACTATGTTTTCTAGTGTTTTTATATCCTCAAGTCTTAAAGAATCAGGATATTCAAAAGAAAAATTTTCGAGGTCACCATTGATTTTTTCTGGCAAAAAAAAGAGAAGCACGAAAAACCGTTCGGCGAACACTTTTGACCGCTACTGTACATTAGGTTTCGAATGGCTCAGAATTTAGATCGTTATAAAGTTATTGCGGTTTTTGATGCTGAACTACAAATGTACATATCTCTGCTTGAACACGACGTTTCCAGTCAAAATAAAAACCCTTAAAATTTGAGCATTTTTTAAAACAGAAACCGGTTTAATCATTTTGATTGCATGGAGTGCTGCAGTCATTTGGGGGATGAACATAGTGAAGGTCTTCTAATAGGTGTGTTTGGTTGTTTTTTTTTCTAAAAAGGCTATCCATATGCCTGAAAACGTGTCATTGGTAAACAATGATCGGCTGAGTAGGAGAGGTGTGTCGACGTTTAAGCCTAGCTTGTTAACTTGTGCAGGGTTGGATATGAGATCACCGGTCGAGCAATTTATTATTAGTGGTGAAAAGTCGGCTTCCTCGTTTCGGAACACTATTGCCATGGAGGTTTCACCTTCTTAGCCTCATGCAACAGTTGTGGGTGTCTTGTTGAGATTGATTGCGATCATTGCATTCAGCAGAACCCCGTTAGTTGTTGCAAACTCCTCTATAGCTGCTACTCTGCCTCCGGTCACGTTTATCGTCCGCGATTCGCCATCGCAGATCGACAGTGACCGAGTTCGCGATCCGTCGCTAGAGTCGCAAGAATCGCAAATGCCCATTTGAACATTTGAAACACTGAATATGAAACAAGTAGAATCATGAACAGTCGTCATTCAACCATCACCATCAAGCAGAATGGCGGCGGGATTGGAGAGCACCTCGCAGTATTGATCGGGGCACTTGTAATTTCTGTGATCCGCCGAATTTTGCGGCGAATCGCGGACTCTGACACCAGCCTGTAGCTATCGGAGCTGGCTTGATAAATTCTCCCAATACTCGCCCTGAGCCGGGCCAGTGGATTACTGTGTTAGTCGTATCTGCGTGATTTTTTTTCCTGTTCGGGCTATCCGTTTTGCCGCTCACCGCTCTCACGGGGAGCCTAACAAACCATGTTGATCATATTTTCTCGTGATTGCTCAGAAATCACTACTCACTTACTTTCCTTTTGTCAAATTCAGTGGGGTGGGAGATTCATTTCGGTTGCAATAGTTCGTGTGATGCTGCAGTCGCAGTTTTGCTCAATTAATATTACGTGCTTGTTGCTGCGCGATTCATCGATTCAATTTTGTTATGTGTTGGACACCATATATTGCTGGACAGAAGGAGCAGTCGTTTGGGCGGCGGATGCGTTTGCTGACGTTAGTCAACCCAAAAACATGGCATCGCCTTAATTCCTGGTGAGTATTTGGAGTACTGATCGCAAATCGCGATCCTAAAGCGCGGCTTCAGTTCATACCTTGACACGACGAAATCGCGTGTTTTGGCTTTTTGGCCGCGTGGGACCTGGCGCGTTTTGCGAGCGCCGCCGCATCACCTCAATAACTGTGGATTTTGAGCTTTAAATACGCAAAACTTGTATGCGACAAAATGTTTCCACTAATGTTCAATGTGTTCAACTTATCGGGAGTTACAGTAATGGAAGTTCGACCAAAATGACGTGTTATGGCTACGAGAAGGCAAATTTCACTTTCTTTCGCTTCAAGGTTTCGAAAATTTTTAATCATATTTTTTAAGTGGAAACATATATCTGGCCATGCGACTAAATTTGTATTCACTTTTATTGCTCTTTTTCATCTACGTGTTTACATTAATGAAGAGAAAATGAGGAATGAACTGAACGGATATTTTCGTCCGGTCCGAAAAACCTCTGCCAAACTAAAGAATATTTGGTCATTCTATAAGCCGCGTGGTTCTTGGTTATGTTGTGGTATGGCCTATAAAATGAACACAAAAAACCTGGGAAGAAATCAGCATGCAAGAAAAAAAAAATGTAATGGGTGGGCATACATAGTTGCCACAATGTCCGACGTGGTGCGAAAATGGCGGCATGCATAGTTGCCGCGCTGTCGTCAAGGTGTTCAAAGCAGCGAACACAATAGGCGCTCGAGGGGTTCAAAGGGCGTGGAGGGTGCAATGGTCACAAGTGACGAAAAAAGCAGGGAAATCCTTCTGAGAAACGCAAAATGGGACCCCCTTTTGGCCGTTGGTTTTCGCATGAGCGAGTAATGGCTAAGACAGCGGCCGTATGAACAAGTTCACTATCGCGTTTGGTAGCATCATGCCAAACCATGCTCATTGTCTCGCTACTTTCGAAAAAGCTGGTCCAAATCACCAACTAAGTCAGTGGGTGAGCGCTTACAGGTGCAACCCAGACAGACGTCGTGTTATCGATTCCTTCGGTTTATAGGGTAAATAGTCAGAGGACAATCACAAATGTAGCCTTCCCGTGCTAAAAATCATCCGATAAGGTCGCGAGGGCTTTGCAAAGCTAGCTGCAGCTAGCTGCACTGTTCGCCATCCGCAGCAGCCTGTTGTCTGACGCCTTCTCATGCATTGCGCTCTCGCGCCCATATTGTCCTCTCCGTGCTAGGTTTCTCATTGTCTCAGCACAGCCAATACTTTCGTATTCGTATGAAGGAACCACACCAGCTCGATCTTGGGGCGTGCCGTCAAAGGACGAGGCGATTCTCAGGTACTGTGCAACCATCAGCGCCAACCATCAGCGCACCTTTCGTCGTAAAAGTTCCACAACTCACTTCCTTAGGAAGCCAAGCTACTGCTTTGTTTGGCGCATATGCTTCCTCGTCCTTCAAAGAAAGATTCCACAATAAGGACGAAGGTCAGAGAAGGAGAAACTGACCTAGTGGAGATACAGGCGCTCTAAGGGTGCGGACCAACACGCAGTTTGCATTGAAGGATGAAGGGCCCCCTTCGATCTCGCATGGCCTTCCCCGCGACCCATAATCTCGCTATTGGCGCGGTACGCCCCCTCTCGCGTCGTCTCGTGTCTGAGTCTAGCCGTTCAGCAGAGAGAGAGAGAGCGTTAGCGTTGAAGAGGGCAGCACCGATGAGAGTCGCATCAATGCGCAAATCAACGGGCAAGGAAGGGGTCCCATTTCTCGGGTTCTGGGCCGTTTTCATGGTTTTTCCTTCTTTCGTGTATCACTCACCATCCTACTTAATTTGAAATGGGTTGTCTTTCCATCGTGAAATCCGCCCTTAGTTAACACGTTGACGACAATGCCATTTTTCACGTGCCTGTCCTGAATCTGCGCCTGTTTTGATATTTTTAAAAATACGTTATAATGCTAATACTTGCATCATAAATCTTAGATTTCAATGCAGAAACTGTTGAGACTTCGCACGTCTTCAATGTTTTGTTGAGGATTTCGGGGCAAGCACCAAAAATCTGAGTTCTTCTCTCCTACATTTGTAAAGCAAAAACCAGCTGCACATTTGAATAGCAAGCTTTTTCCTAGGGTGTTCTTTCAAATATCTCTTAATTAAAACCTCCATTAAAAATATGAACAGGCCATGATTACCAAAAGTACTACAGCGCCCTCCATATTAATATATTGTATTATGTAATGAACTTGAAGTGTACCACTTCTATGCTGCATCTGCACATCGAGCCGTTCCAGACAAACTGCGTCCCCATGTAGAGCCGCAATTTCGCCATGAGTTATCATTCTCATTACCCTCGAGGCTCTCGCCGTAGTCACAGAATCTTTCTGAGCTGCGCTGAACATTTCTTGTGGGCACAGAACCAAATGCATCAATGTTATAGCGACTTGCTTTTGATCCTTTTCATGTTAGTCTTAGGCTGAACCACGTTTCAATCATATTGTTCGTGGTTCTGATTCTTTTGGTGGATCCTTTTCAAAAATTGAAGCGCTCGCTATAGAACATCACTTATCATGTCTTCAGATAGAACGGAAACGCTCTTCAGTATGATTTATAACTTATCAGAATCTCACCACAAAGCAGTTCGAAGGTGAAGCATTTCATATCAAAATAGCAAAAACGAGCGACCCAATGTTATAGTGTTGCAATATACAGGGGGGGGGCCAAAAAAAAAGAGTCACTTTGCCCATGGCGCATATCATCAAACTTTTCGTCGCAAAGGATGCCGCTGTTATTGGGAGTTATACGGCGAATTATTCCTTAGATGTCCCCCCATAAGCAGAATCAGGCCCACCTTCGCTGCTTCACCGTCTCCAGAATATGACGTCATCTGTCATCACCGTCGAGCTCAAGGAGGCCTACCATAATCGCTCCATTCTGAAGCTGCTACATAATTTCTTCAATCGGATAACTGGTGAATGGCTTCTTAGGGACACTAGCTCTGGATATGCAAAATGGTTTTTGACCCAATTGAGCTCATGTTTGGTTCCGGTAAAGTTTAATTAATTCTGTTTTGAATGTGAGTCAGAGTGCCTCTTCCCCCCCCCCCCTGTAGATGCCTCCACAAGATCGCTTTCACAGCACCCGACCGAGGTTGATTCTTTGGGAGAACTTGTGCGCTCATTTGGAAAAGGATATCTAGACTTGATGTAGAACTGAATTCCTTTTTAGCCCATGCATTCACTTTTCTGTTTGATTTTTTTTTGAACTATGATCGGAATTCACATGTGCGCAATGATATGTTCTTCCTTATCAAGCACGGAATAACGGCCATTGAATGTTCTTGGAACCTTTGGCACCCCTCCAGAAAGTATGTTCCATGTCATCAACATCGCTAGCAACTCTAGTATCTGTGGGTTGGGACTCAACCATAAAGCAACAGTCCCA